TCGCAGGGTGGTTTTGTGCTGGCGCTGGACTGCAACCCAAGTGGCAGCCGACGCCAAAGAGCAGAGCTGCTGTGCAGGTGACAGCATGTCCTGGGGAAGCTCCGCAGGCCTTCCAGCTGCAGGTAGATCACCGAAACGCAGTCTCAGGAGCCACTTTCCCTGGCCCCAGCCGCGCGGTATCCCCACAGCACGCAACTGTGAGCCTCTGCAACTCTCGCCCCCTTCCGCTTGCCCTCTGTTTATTTTTGGCAGGGTGCAATTTCAGCCGACCGCACGGCTTTTCAGATTGCCAGGGGGCCCCAGCGAAGGAGCAGCGGGGGCTGGCAGCGCCGCGGTCGTGCCTGGAGGCTGGGTCTTGGTGCTCGCTCTGCCGACTGCTCCAAAGCTGGAGGTGTCCGGCAGCACCTCACGGCTCGCTGTGCTTCTGGGTTGCTTCTGCTCAGAGCTGCCCCCAGTCCCTCTCTCACCTCCGCCTCCATCCTGCCCACTCACTGCGGGCTCCTGGGGGACAGATCGAGCTCTGGGGAAACCTGGTGGGGCTTTTTGAGAGCTCCGGGAAACCTCCCTATCGTGGTACAGCTCTTCCCCGTTCCGTCATGACCGGGGTTGGCTGCCGGCACCAAAGACTGGAACGCATTTTAACTACAAACCTTCCCAGACATCATCTGGGACCGTCTGCAGCTTATTTTAAACGCTCTGGATCTTCCTTTGTTTTAAGACTTTTGATCTCCATGTAAGCTAAGACTTCATCTGCTTCTTAAACTTTTAAGATTTATTGGGTTTTGGTTTCAGCTGTGTAAGGCCACCGGTTGCTTCTTGGTCTGGATTTCTATATTGGAGCCAGCTGATGGGTTGTCCTTTGGGACATCAGGGTATTTGTGATTATTTTTAGCTTTTAATTGGCAGGGATCTGTGCTTTGAGCTGCGCAGTGTCAAGGGCTTTTCTTCCTTGTGCTCTCAAGAAGCTTTTCTCTCCCTTTCATCTGGAGGCAGCTGTGTTTCTCTGCCGCTCGCAAGGCACAGAGTGCACGGGGAGACCGGCTCCGAGCCATGGTCCTGAGGACTTGCAGGGACCGGGGCTCATCTTGGCCGGGTCTCTGCGGTGAGGTGGCAGCGCCGCAGCGAGCGCCCAGCGGGACGTGGCCGGGCCGCCCGTGCTATGCCCCGAGGAGAGCTGTGGGCTCGCTCGGGGTGACCTTGGGCATCGCTTCCCTGCGCTGGGCCGCTATTTTTTCCCCTCCTCTTCCCCTCTTTTGTCTTGCCCTGCTTAATTGTAACCTCTTTGGGCCAGGAACTCTGTGTGTATAAAGGGCCCAGAACAATATGCCCCAGATGTTATTGTACAAACCCTTCCTCATCAGCCACGAGGTTTCACAGGAAAGAAATTTTAAAAAAGACTTTTTCCAGCGTTTTCGTCTTGCATATGTGGTCGGGAGCCTCACTCTGAGTCCTGGGTCTCAGAGACGAGGGATAGCACTGGAACTGCAGGGGGTTGTTTTGGTTTTTCTCTACGGAAGAAAAGAACCCCCCAGCCTCTTTTTCTCACCCTCGTGACTGCAGGGAATAGCTTGTAAATGTGACGGGGGCAGACCTGGCAAGCTGAAATCCAGATGGCAAGTAAAAGAGAACCCAATACTCAAACAAAAGACCACCAACCCCTCCTCTGCCTTTCCGATGATCTCTGGGTGTTGTTTTGCCCCCTTTATGGTACTTTCAGTGTTTCTGCGGTTCTGCTTTGGGGAGGTGCTCAACTCACTTGCACTTGTCTGCAGCTTGTTTCAGTTTCAGGTTCCCTGGGTTGGAGCACTTTACATTGCAAACACTGCAGGGGAGTGCTTATTTGTTTTAAGACCACAGCTTGCTTTGGAATTTCTCCCATCAAACTTTAGGACAGTTTTTTTACTCTCCTCCCCCCCAACCCCAAAGAAAGAAAGAAGTTTTCTTAGTCTCATCTTGCGTCAGATTTGACACCAGGCCAACAAATGCGGCCTGGAAGGTGCTTCTCTGAGGCTTCTTGTCTGAGTGAGACCTGGGTGAGGATTCGTGGTGGAAATGCAAAAATGCCTGTTGGTTTTACCAGGACGTGTTTTCCCCGTGACGCAGCCACCCCTGGGGGACAGTGTGGGGCAGATCCCGATCCCCGTTTCTCGTCCAGAGGTGGCTGTGCCGGACCAGTGCAGGTTTGGCTCTCTCAGGTCCGGCGGGGTTGTTTGCTCCAAAGCAACCAGAGTCCTGGGATTTTACCAAATGTTTCTAATTAGGTTGTTCTCAATTCAAAGAGCCAGAGCTGGCTGTGCGGCACACAGTGGAAAGCCTGACCAGTCGCTGAAACCACGCAGAGAGGTGGGTCCTGCTTTCACGCCGAGGTGCGGGGAGGCCTCGCCTCTCCTCGGCGCTTCTCAGAGGCAAAAATAGATTCCCAATGCGGGGAGAAGCTGCGGGCCCTGCCCTCACTCACACGTCCGCCCTGCTTTGGGAACGGGGGGATCAGAGCACGGCAACCTGCTGGCACAGCCGGCCCCACAGCCCGAAATTGAGGCTCAGAGCTGGGCTCTCTTTGGAGGCTGCTCCCGGGGCCACGGTCGCGCTGCGCTGCTGCGGATGTTTGCCTCGGCTGGGGGAGGCAGCGCAGTTTCCACAAGTGCTCACAGGAAGCAGTATTTATTAAGGCTCGAAATGTATTTTTTCCCTTCTGTTAGGGCCCTGTCTCGCTCCATTGTCTGAAATTCCCATGCAGAGACTGGCCCGTAACGCAAAAAAAAAATATAATAAAAAATCCTGAAAGCGGGGGCTGGAGCTCCCAGGGCTCTGGCTGTCGGCTGCCTGACTCTGTGCAAACAGTCTGGGCCTGAAATCCCCCAGGACTGAGCATAAAGGTCTGATTCAAACCGAAAACGGTGTGCGAAGCAGCTCGGCCCGCGTGTTGCTGTCTGCCTCCCCTTTGCCAGGGCTGGGGGCTCCTGAAACGCCCTGCGGAGGGATCGCCTCCCTGGGGCCTGGAAGAGGTGGGAGACGGGCGGCAGGGCCGTGCCGTGCGCCGAACCGGGGCGGAAATTATCAGGGGAGCGAAGAATGAGCAGGATATCACGTGCCGGCCGTGTGCGCGCGGGGCTGGGGGAGAACAAAGCGCGGGGAAGCCCTGCTCCAACGCCGCTCCCACCCCGCTTCCTGCCCGCACGGGACGGAGTGGCCGGGGCAGGGAGCGTGGGGGCAGGAGGCAGCCCCCAGCTGCCTGCCAGGGCTCGGGGGGCTGCTGGGCTCTGCCTGCCTCAGTTTCCCCTGCCTGAGAGGCGCCGGGTGCCAGGGCACGGTGTGGCAGGGCTGTCTTTGCCTGTTGTAGGGCGTTCCTGTGGCAGTTGTGGGGTGGATGAAGCCTTGGGCATGCCTGCAGTCTGCGGCTGACGGAGGTGTTTGAAGGAAGGCCTGGGATGCGTGGGGAGAAGAGGGCTGGCACCGGGCGGGGGGGCCTGGCTGGGTGCTTGCTGTCCGTCTTCACTGGAGGTCTCAGCTCAGAGGTTGGAGCCTGCAGGGAAGGAGGGGGCTCCCAGCCCGTGAGGAAGCCTGGCTGCCCCATGGGTGCCACGCACCCGCAGCAGCCCCTGAGGCTCAGCGTGGGCCGGGGGCCGAGCACGGGGCAGTCCCGGGGCTCCACCACCGCTGCCCCTCGCACACCAGGTCCTGCCCCTCGCTGAGCTCAGGCTTGCCTCCCTTCTTTCTCTTTTCCTCCATTCCTCTTAGACTCTGCCCTGCTTCCCCCTGTGCACCCTTTCAGCACAAGAACCCCCTTTTTAAAAAAAATCATTATTATTAATAGCTATTGAGAGCCAATAAAAAGCTTTATGGGCTTTGGCCGAGCCTCAGGGCTTGCAGTGTGCTCATTTCCTGGAGTCGGAGCGCTGAGGGGTGTGGGTTTGCTTGTTTAACCCTAGGTAATAGGGCCGCGGCCATCGGTGGTGGCAACTGGAGCTGGAGAGGAGCAGGGGAAGGGGGGGGGGGGCTGCCTCCCAGCGGGGCCTGGGAACAAAAGCCGGGGTGATTAGCACTGGTGGGGAGCGGGCTGTGCATGCGCGTGGCCGTCTGTCCGGCCGGCTCTCACGTGGCTTCCCGGCGTGCTCTCGGTCCTGCCTGGCCCTCTGCACGCTCAGCCCCGTGTTGAACAGCCCCGTGCCGCCGGGAGGGAACGCTGCAGCTCAGGGCGGGCAGGGAGCACCGCTGCGCTCGGAGCTGAGTGGGGGGAGTTGTTGTCCCACCCCCCAAAAGGGGAGCAAGGGGTCGGTTTGGCTGTGAAGCTGCGCTGCCGCAGGTCAGCAGCACGGCGGGGCTGTGCCGAACCCATGCCAGGTAGGCACGGGGCAAGGAGCTGGCCCAAGGGCTGAGCCCTGCCATCCCTCAGCGGCGCTCCCTGCGGGTGCTGCACAAGCTCTGGTTTCGTGCTCTGGCTTCCTCTGCCCCGTGGTTTCCTCGCCCTCCGTGCCAGAGAGTGAGCAGGGGGTGGCTGCGATCCTTCAGAATCACGGGTCTGACGGCTCTGCCTCCTGGGTGGCAGCACCCTGCTTGGAGCAGGACCTGGCTTCGTGTCCCACCTGGGCAGGGCGACAGCACGGTGTGCGCGTGTGCCCGGCTCTCAGTGAGGGTAACGGGGCCCGGCTGCAGCTGGCCTCGTGGCTGCTGTGCCCAGAGAAAGCCCCTCCTCACCCACCAGCAGCCTGCTCCCTGGGGACGTCGTTCTCCCAAAGGAACTCTCCTGGCTCCGACTCACTGTTTTGCCTCCTGTCGTGGCCAGGCTTTATTCATTCATTTATGACAGCATTTTCACAGCTGGACCCACTGCGCTGCTCCTGTTCCCCCAGCCCTCCGTTACCGTGCCCTTGGTCATTGCTAGTGGGCCGTGCTCCCTGGGAGATGGGATCGTGGCGCTGGAACTCCCTCTTGGCAGCTCCCTCCCCATCGCCTCGTGCTCCCCATCGCCTCGTGCTCATTTTCTCCCTCTCTTTCCGCAGCTCGCCGAGCGAGGAGCCGCGCCGGGAAGACCATCTCCACAGGATGTTCTCTCCACCAAAGAGCTCCCTGTAACTGGCGACGATGACAATCCCGGCGGGACCTCGGAAAGCACTAACGTTTCCGTAGCCCAGCACCCGTGGGTGGCCGCTTCTCCCTCCTTCTCCACGCCCCTCCCTCCCATCGCACCGGGATGGTGTATTAACCAAGGAGAGCCCCGCTTCTTTTCTCCTCGCCCCTCAACTTTCGGCAGCTCTGGGATTTGTATGGCAGCAGCGTAACCGTGGAGAGGCCGGGGTATCACAAACTTATGGATTTTGATAAGAGAGGAGGGAAAGGGGAGCTGGAGGAAGGTAAAAGGATGTCCAAGACGGGTGGAGGAAGGAGCAGTCATGGAAGCCGGAGTGCTGGAACCAACTCGGGAGTCTTAATGGTGGGTCCCAACTTCCGCGTCGGCAAGAAGATTGGATGCGGCAATTTCGGGGAGCTCCGTCTAGGTGAGAAGGGCTTCTTCTGTCCTCGCTATGCCTGCTTGTGCCGTGATCGCTGCGTCGTCCTCCTGCAGCAGGAGGAGCTGGTGTGGGCACTAAGGATGCTGACCAGCCACGTGGGTGCGGAGGCATCGTGTGCTGGGGTAACTCGCGCTCCCCTCGTGGAGCTTTCTTTCCCTCGGCACCTCCCCACTGTGCTTCATCTCCCAAACCCCCTCTCAGAGCTCACGGACCGATCGCAGAGACGTTTCTGTCTCTTTCCCATACCTGTTGCTCTGGGGGTTCCTCATGGATCGCGCTAAAGCTCAGTCCTGGTGGTCCTGGTGCAGGATCCCTCGGAGGACGATGTGTGCCGAGGTGCCGCTGTGCTCCCAGAGCTCCCCATGCTGCCCTCCTGCTGCGCCCCGTGCCTCAGGAGGGCTGTGTGGTGCTGGGCTGCTGGGGAAGGGGCAGCGTGTCATTCTGGGGAAGTTCCCTGGTTGGTAAAACTGGCTCATTTCACATACCCTCCTGAAACTTCATGGAGGGGAGAGAAAAAGGGCTGAACAAAACCCCAAAATTCTCGCGGTCACTTTCAATTCTGAACCACATTTATCAGGGAAGGTTCAAAAGCAAACTCTTCCTCGGAGGGGGGTAAGGGGGGGGTTGTTCTTTCCCAAGGAGGCAAAGTGCCCCAGGAGGTTTTCAGCAGGCTTTTAACTCCCTGGTGGGCATCGGGCAGCCGGGAGAGGCCGGGCAGGGCCGTGGTGCAGGCTGGCTGCCTCCAGGAATGCGCGTTGGATGCGTCGGCAGAGCCGGTGCCAGGCAGGGCGTCAGCCTTGGCTGCGCTGCGAGCGCTTTGGGAAAAGGGCTGTGCCGGAGGGAGCTGGCAGAGAGCCGCTCCCCGGAGAGGCTGGGGCTTCGTGCCGCCGTGGGACTCGTTGTGCCGTGTTCCAACCAGCGCCTTGTCGAGCCAAGTTCCGAGCAAAGCCTGCAGTCGGTGGGGTCTTGGTGGGCTCTTGGGGTTTGAAAGGAGCAGAGATGGAGGCTGCCCCGAGCCGCCGGCAGCCCTGGCCCTGTGTCCTCACCTCGGCGAGCCAGCCCTGTGTGCGGGGAGGTAAGGGTAGCTTGGTGTCAGCTCTTCCCAGCCCCACAGACTGCCTGCTGCCAGCCTCAACCATCCTGCCCCCAACCTCCCTGCTGGGATCACTGCTAAATTGCAGGACCCGTGGCTGAGGGTCCGTCCCTGGCAGCGGGCAGAGCTCTGCTCCTTCCTGCCTGTTCCAGGGGGGGGAGGCTCCCGGCAGCGTTGGGGTTTGGGCCCAGCAGCTGCTCCTTTCACCCATGCCTGGGACCGGGTCCCTCGGAGCCTGTGCCACCTCTTCCAGCCCTGAACGTCCTTTAAGGTCCTGCTCTTGTGCCCTGCTTTATTTCGGACTTCTCCCCAAACTCTTGTAGATGGAGGAGAACTGTGCAGAAAGCCGAAACAGCTGGGGCTGATCCTGCTGCTCAGCACCAAGGCCTGATTTGAGCTCCTTGTGTTCTGGGAATGGCACCAGGGCAGTGCAGGACAGCTTTTGGGCCTTCTGTGCACTTTTCCTACCCTGTCCCACCCCACAGTGCCTACACCTAATGCCGTCAGGGGCTGAGCACAAGACCTCACTGCAGCAGCATGAGCCACAGCTACGTGGCTCTTCTCCTAAAATCGCGTCGCTCTTCCTTAGGTGTGCCTCTGAGCTGCCTCAGGGCCCGGGAATGCCCTTCAGACCTGACATTAAGTAGGGATTCCTCAAGAGGAGCTGCAGGGGTCAGGAGGGGTCCCTCTGTGCCATGGTGGTGGAAGCAGGGATGCTCCCTGGCGTGCTGGGCACCCAGGTTTCCCCTGGGAAGGAAGCGTTCAGTCCTCAAAGCAGGCAGGTTGTGGAGGCCAAAGTGTAGCTCAGTGCTTTAAAAAAAAAGAAAAAATTCTTTGTGCTTTTTCCTTTAAAAAAAAAAAAAAAGCCCAGAGATCTTGCAGAAACACGTTTGGAGGCAACTCCTCCATTCCCAGCAGTGGGGGATGGAGGGGGATGAAGTTGTCCTCCAGCAGGTGCCGCGTTGCCCAACTCCTCTGCGCCGGGAGGCAGGCACCGCGCAGCCCCTGGCTGGGAACAGACGTCCTCCGAGGTTTGGAGGTGTGCAAACTCAGGGGCCGTTTGTTAAACATAATAAATAATAAAAATAAACTTTTATTGGAGGTGTGGGGCGCTTGCGGGCAGCCAGAAGGGGAAGGACTTGGCCGGGGGTTCCCGGCTGCCGGAGCTGTGCGTGGATCCCCCCTTGGTGTCCGCGCTGCCCCTGGCATCCTGCTCACCGCGCCTGGTGTAACGGTGCTGCTGGAGGAAAGAAACTCCAGAAGGGTCTGAGGTTGGAGCCTGGAGCACCTGGGTGCTGTGCAGGCCTTCTGCCAGTGCCAGACTGCCCCAGAGCTGCCTCGGAGGCAGGAGCAGCCGTTTGTCCGTGCTGCCCTGGGGAGGTGGGGTGAGGATCTGGGGATCCGGCAGGAGCTGCTGCTTTTGGTCTTCTTACGCTCAACTTGTGGACGTTCGTTGTTTGCGGGGTTTTGTGCTTGCCCCTCTCCACCACCCTGGAGTGGAAATACGGCAGCTGTCTTCCTTCAAAGTTAGAAGATGGGAGTTAACTTCTCTTTAAGAATTAAAACAGCATTGGGGAGGGAGAGGAAGACAGCAGTGGGTCCTTGTGCAGCGTGTGAGCCAGCAGCAGGTTGCTGGGGACATGTCCCTGCCCAGGGAACGCGTGAGCTGCTGGGGACGTTCCCAAGCCTGAGCTGTGGCTTTCACCCTCGGCCTGCAGGCTCCTGCTTGCCCACAGGCTGCTGCTGGGGGCACAAACGGTAACCTAGGAAAATCCAGGCAGTGGTCAGCGCGCTGCACTGAGCGCTGCTCTGGCTTCGGCTCTGTGGAGATGCCCTCACCCATTCACCATCGCGAAGGGCTCAGAGCAACCTCAGCTGGGTGCCACAACGGGTCCGAGCTGCAGCGCTGCCGGGCAGCTCCTGAGCAGCTGCGGGAGAGGAAAGGAAAGGAAAGGAAAGGAAAGCCCCCGGCCTGCTGCTGGGCAGCCGCTGGCCTCCCTCGCGGACAGCTCACGCTGGTTTTTCCCCTTGGTCTTTCGCAGCCTCCTGCAGAGGAAGGTCAAACTCTAAAATAACCTTTTTTTTTTTTTCTTCCTTCCCTCTGATCTATTAAAAAGCACCGCTCCGAGGAGCTGTCGTTGCCTGTGCCGAGGCAGCTCGTGGCCACTGCTGGGAGCTTCTGTGCCATGGGGCTGCCTTGCACGGGGGCCACAGGAGCCCAACGAGCCCCGGCGGTGCCGTTGCGCTGCTGCTGAGGGCAGGAGCTCGGTCTGGGGGCACGGCGCGGAGCCCAGCCCCTCTCTGGGCCGTGATGTGCAGGAGCAGGTGCCTGATCCCACCGCTGCCAAATCTGCCCTCGGGAGGGGGGCATGGGGGTGTTAAGAGAAAGCCAGGGCTGGCTTTTAAACACGACGCGGCGCAGCCAGGCCCCCCCGGCTGCCCCCAGCCCCGCGGCGTGGCGGTGAGCTGACGGGCAGCCCCGTGCGGGTGCTCGCAGCCCCATTTGGAGGCGCCGCCAGCGCTGAGCAGGGCAAAGGCCTCTGCAAGGGCAAATATTTGCTTGCTGCCTCCCGGCCTGCCACTTTTTTTTTTTTTCTTCTTCCCCCCTTCCAAGCCCCCTTTGGTTCTGTGAGGCCAGCGGTGCTGCCTGCTCACGGGGCAGCCCCAGGACTCAGCAATTTTGGGGCATCCAAGCTGCCAGTGCTTCTCCCTGCTTCTCATTCCTAGCAGCTTTGTCCCAGCCCTCTGAGCACCATAGGAGGAGACAAACCACGGGGATATGAAATGATTTGGGGGCATCAAGTGATTTGGGCTCTTTTCTTGGCCAGCTCCCTTACAGGCCGGTTTTAGTGTCCCACCAGCAGCAGGGCTGCAGCTCTCCTGCCGTGTATTTGTTGATTATTTTGCCCTATTAAGACCCAGCCCAGCCTCAGGGAAAATCCTGCCGTGGTTTTAGGGCTGCATGTTACTGCCCTGAAGGCAGCAGTGAGTTTTTGGACCCAGCAGCAAGGCCCTGTGGCTAGGGCACGCGGGGGCCCAGCACCGTCCTGCCTCCCCCGTCCTAGTGGGAGCCGCTCTGTTAATGCCTCCCATTCATCCCTCCTCCCGTAATCCTGCCGCTGACTCTGGCGCTCAGCAGCTGGCTCTGATGTCACCCGGCGAGGATTTATTGCTGCTTCAGGTGGAGAGCAGCAGTCGGAGCAGATGAAATCTTATGCCAGGAGGAGCCTGTGCCCTGAGCAAATTGCTGCGAGGAAATCCGAGGAGACAGAGGCAGCTCCGAGCCTCAGCGGGGCGGCTGCTGGCCCTCGTGCTGTGGGAAGGGGCTGCCTGCAGGGTCCTGGTGGCCCGGGGAGCTCTGGCAGCAGGGGCTCTGAGCCATTTGCAGATCTCTCACCTTTTTCTTTGTGGACCTCAGGCAGAGGTGGTGCTGACGCTCCCCAGGTGCAGCACCTTCCTCCTGCCCTCCTGGCTGTGGCGCAGACGCCGTTGCTGAACCTTTCTGTAGCTGGGGGCGTGAAAACCCTGCAGTGAAGGTGCTGAGCTCTGTAGGAAGCCATCAGCGGGGCTTTGGGGCAGTGGGGGAGCTCTTCCAGCTCTCCTGGGCCCCCAAAGGCATTCCAGCCCTCCCGCAGCACATCGGTGCCTTCAGCTCCTCGCACAGCGCGGGGCCGTGCGGGGCTGCTCCCAGCCGGGGGCACCCGAAGGCCTAAATCCCCCCTGCTGCTGGGCTCAGCACCGTTCCTCAGCTCCTCCCAGCCCCGCTGCCTCGCCTCCATCTAACGGAGGGACCCAAGGGGGGGAGGCTGGGTGCTGGGCCTCGGTCCTGCAGCCGCGCTGCCCCTGCACCCCCAGGGGCCTCCCCTTCCTCCCAGCCCCGTCCCGGAGCAGGGCAGCTGCAGCAGCCCCCCAGGGAGGAACGGCGGGCGCAGGGAAGCTGCCCCCTCCCAGCCAGCTTGGCAGCGGCCCCCAGCAGCCGGGGGAGGAATGCGGGTGCCCCATCTGGGGGTAATTAGCAGGCGTGTTGCAACGCAGCGCAGTGGGCTCCGGCTCCTGCTCACGCCTCGAGGCCTGGTTCTGGGTTTGGGAGCTGCCGAACCTGTTGGGGATGTTGTGCAGTCCCCTGGGGACTGCAGCGGGTGTGTTGGGGGGGTAATGCAAAGGCTCGCTCACTTCCAATGCCTTTTTTTCTGTCTTCTCTGCAGGAAAGAACCTCTACACCAACGAATACGTAGCTATCAAATTGGTGAGTCTTTTTGTGGTCCGAGGTGGTGGTGGGGAACGTTTGGGCAGCCTCAGAGAGCAATTGTTCTCCCTGCCCAGCCTGTTAAAGTGGGTCGGGACAGGCTGCGGTAGGGGAGCTGCGCTCGCTGCTAGGAATCGAGGGCATGCAGGCAGCCAGCGTCACTCCAGGTGGGGTGATGCAGCCCTGGGGAGAACAGCTGGGGCTTTGCTTCACCAGGAGCTGGCTGTGGCCTGCTCTCAGCACCCCTTCAGCTGGTACCAGCACAGAGAGCTCCTGGAGAGTGTGGTGCCACCAACACCAGCTCTGTGCACGCCTCCCCCAGCCCCTGTCTCTCTCTGGAGGGGTCGGATCAGGCTCCCGTGTGGGCTGGTTTCCTCCCCCCATCCCCTGAGTCTTTGTCTTCATTTTGCACTGTTGTTTCTCACCCCTGAATGCTGCCAGCCCCTGCTGCTGCCAGCCTGTGAAGGAGGGGTCTGCCAGCCAGACCTCCTGAGCATCCCGCTCTGTGCCACAGCCTCACCTCTTCTCCTTCTCTCCTCCAAGGAACCCATAAAGTCCCGGGCCCCCCAGCTGCACCTGGAGTATCGGTTCTACAAGCAGCTTGGCAATGCAGGTACGGGGCTGGGGCTGAGCTGCTGCGGGCAGCCAGTGTCTGGGCGATGGGGCTGGGGCAGGGAGAGGCTTCTCTAGAGGTGGCTGCACCTTCTGCAGCTTCGCTCCCCAGCCCGAGCCACTCCGTCCATCTGCTCAGCTGGGAGAGGCTGTCCTTACACAGCCACGTCTGATCTTTGATCCCTTTTTATTTAGTTCTTCTCCCCCGCCTCCCCTGCAGCCGTCAGGGGTGCAGATGGAGCTGTCTCCCACGTCCTTCTGCCAGGAGCAGAGCTGGGCTGCCTGCAGCCCGGGGGGAGGCGTTGCGGTGACCCCCCACCAGCAGCCCCCGTGCTGGCTGTGGGAGCGGCGTGGCCGTGGCATCGTGGCCGCGTGCTGCTCGGCCCCGCCGTGACCGCTGACAGCCCCCGCTCTGTCTCTTGCAGAAGGAATTCCTCAGGTTTACTACTTTGGCCCCTGCGGGAAGTACAACGCCATGGTGTTGGAGCTGCTCGGCCCCAGCCTGGAAGATCTCTTTGATCTGTGTGATCGCACCTTCACGCTCAAGACCGTCCTGATGATCGCAATCCAGCTGGTGAGCACCGCACCTCCCCGGGGGGCTGCGTGGGGCCCCCAGCGCCGGGCGGGCCTCTCCCCATCCCTCATGCTCTCCCTGATCCAGGAGGGACGAGGCACGGGGCCGTTCCCTGTGCCCAGCAGGGTGGGTCGTGCCGGGTGGCCCTGGCTGACCTGTGCTCTCCCTCGCCCTGCTCCAGGCACGGCCAGGTGTCTGTGACTGTGTCGGAGGTGCGGTTGGACCAGAGCTAAGGACTGACTCCGCCTGTCCTTTCGATGCAGTGTGAGGGGAGCCGGGCTGCTGGCTGGGTTGAGGCAGTCTGAGCAGAATAGGGCCCGAGGGAGGAGGGCACGGGGCGCTGTGTCCGTGGCTGCGGTTGGCGCGTCTCCACCGCGGTGCTGACCTCCCCTCCTGCCCCCAGATCACGCGGATGGAGTACGTCCACACCAAAAGCCTGATCTACAGAGACGTCAAGCCAGAGAACTTCCTGGTGGGGCGGCCGGGCAGCAAGCGGCAGCACACCATCCACATCATCGATTTTGGCCTGGCCAAAGAGTATATAGACCCCGAGACCAAAAAACACATCCCCTACCGAGAGCACAAGAGCCTGACGGGGACAGCACGCTACATGAGCATCAACACCCACCTGGGGAAAGGTGCGCGCTGTGCCGCCAGCCCTGCCTTGGCCAAAAGGGGGAGGGAAGGGGGCTGCGGGGCACGAGCTCCCCCCTGCTGGTGGTGGGGCTGGGGACAAACAGCCTCTGCTGCAGCCCGGGGGGTTGGCAGGGGACGTGGGGTGCTGTGGGAGCTGGTGGGAACGGGGAAGGGGGCTGTGGTGGGAATGTGCTTATGACTGCTTCTTGCCCCGCTCAGAACAAAGCCGCAGGGACGACTTGGAAGCGTTAGGACACATGTTTATGTACTTCCTCCGCGGGAGCCTTCCTTGGCAAGGCCTCAAGGTAATCGCCAGCTCCTGCTGTCCCCACGCGTGGCTGCCACGTGGCTCTCGCTCTGCCCCGGGCAGCAGCCAGGAATGGGGGAAGAAAGCTTTGGCCCCTGGGGTCGGTGCCTTGGTGGAGTCCAGGGCTGTTGCTCTGAGCTCTGTGCCTGACCCTGGCTGTGCTGAGTGTCTGCAGGGGCCCCCTCTTGGAGCCCCCCCTGTGTGGGTATCCCAGCCACGGTCCCAGTGGCTGTCCGGGCGCTGTGCTCACCCCCAGCCTGCCCCGGGCAGGTTCCCAGCAGTGAGCTCTCACTGCCACCGGGGCCAGAGGCACCAAGACCCCGCTGCCTGTCTGACAGCGCCCAGTGCCTCCCCCTCTCCTCCTCACCTGCCCCTTGTCCCTGCCAGGCCGACACGCTAAAGGAGAGGTATCAGAAGATCGGCGACACCAAAAGAGCCACTCCCGTGGAGGTGCTCTGTGAGAACTTCCCAGGTGAGGGCTCTGCGTGGCCTGTCCTTGTCCCCAGCCTGGCCCCTTGCTGGCCTGGCACCTTGTCCCCCTGCCCCAACTGAGCCCGCTCTGTCCCCGCAGAGGAGATGGCCACGTACTTGCGCTACGTGCGGCGGCTGGATTTCTTCGAGAAGCCCGACTATGACTACCTGCGGAAGCTCTTCACAGACTTGTTCGAGAGGAACGGTTACGTGTTCGACTACGAATACGACTGGGCAGGGAAACCGCTGGTGAGTGGGGAGGGAGCCGGGGGTGGTGCGGGACGCTGGCATGAAGGAGGGCCCCAAATCCAGCTCTGAGCTGGGGAATCGGAGTTGTCACACGGGAGCTGGAGGCTCCTGGAGCTAAGGGGAACCCAGCGGCCGAGCTGGCGACTCGATTTCTGTCACGGGCACCCTCCGTGGGCTCAGTGCAGCTGCACACTGGGCGGGGTGGTGAAGGGGCTGGGGTCTGGCCCCGATTCCGAGCTGCTCTGTACGTTTGGAGCAGGCGGTGGTGGGTGGCGGGAGGGCCTCTGGGGCGCAGCTGACGTTGTGCTTGTGTCCCCAGCCCACCCCCATCGGCACGATGCACAGCGAGGTGCAGGTGCAGCCCCCGAACAGAGACAAAGCACAGCCACACACCAAACACCAGGTGAGCAGCGGCGCGGCCCTGGCTGGGGCACAGCACCGAGGTCACGCGTGACTCGGGCTTCTGATCCATGCAGCACCCAGCAGGGGCTCTTCATGGAGGAGGGACAACGGCGTCCTTTTTCCCTGTGCTGGCTGTTGGAGGGTTTCCTCCCTGTGGGTCTGGGCTTGAGGCTTGTGGAGGACCCTGGGCAGTGTCTCCGGGTCCAGGCGGCTGGCAGGAGCCGGGGGGAAGCAGCTGCAGGAGGCTGGAGCACAGCTGGGAAATGCCAGGGCTGGGCTCCAGCTCCAGCTCCAGCTCCAGCTCCAGCTCCAGCGGGGCGTAGCACTGCTGGCTGTGAGCACGGGACACGCCGAGCCTTCGGGGTGCTAAGGGCGATGCCCCCGGTGCTGCATCCCCCCCGGGGCAACGCGCTGCTCTGTTTGCTGTGCCACTTCTCACCACTGGGACAGAGACACGGGACGAGGGAGGGGTGTTCTGGGAGGCTGTGTGGGGTGGCTCAGCAGCGTGTGGCCCCACACCGGGCACGTGGGGCCAAGCTGGGGGCAGCGCAGGGCAGAGCGATGGGCAGAGCTGCCAGCCATACTCTGGTGCCGCGGCTGTGCAGGGAGCATGGTCTGGGGACTGCTGCCAGCAAGAGCAAACCTCACACGTTTCCCCCAGCTGTCCTGTATGGACCCTGGTCTTCTTGGTTTGAGCATCCAAGGGGAGCAGGTGGGCTGGAGCTGAGCACTCAGCGCCCGTCCTCCCGCAGCCACGCGTCAGCCCCAGGTGGCCGGTGACTGGGCAGCGTCCCTAGGGAGGCGCAACGTCTCCAGAGCGCATCTGGCTCCTTCCTGGGAACTTGCCCCCAGTGAGCTCTGCCCTCTGCCTCCAGCACCTGAGAAGTGCCGTGCTTGACTTCTCTCCTCGAGGGCTGTGGGGAAACCAGAGCACGAAACTCCCACAGCACTGAAGCATTTTGGGACCTGGGGATCCGATGACCCCCAGCAGTCGTGCTGAGGGTTTGGCAGCGCGGTGCTGCATCGCTGGGGGAGCCCTTGAGGCACGGCGCAGCTCGGTTCCTCGTGCTGTCACCACGAGGAGCTGCACCCGCCTCGGCAGAGTGGCTGCCAGCCCCATGCAGGGCGGCTGAGCTCCGTGGGGTGGGGTGGCCCCAGCAGCCCCATGCGGAGGGGAGAGCCCAGTTCTTTGTGGGGGCTGTGGTGTGAGCGTGGCAGGGAGGGTGCGGAGCCCCCCCGTGTCCTAGCAGCGGTTTCAGGGAGGAGCCACCGGGACAGCGCAGGGCGAGCGCCCTCCACAACCACAAACTCGAGCTGCTCCGGTCATGGTTTTGCTTTTGCATGTCTTATTTTCTCGACTCCTTTTGCCACTCTTCTCCCCGCCCTTTCCCTCCACCTCTTCCCTTCTCTCCCCCATTCTTCTTCCTCTTTTCTTTTCTTTTGTTTCTTTTCATTCTGTTCCTCCTGCCTGGCGCGAGCAGCCGCCCGAGGGGACGGAGTTGTGGGATCCTCAGGCCGGTGGGCAGCCTGCCGAGGAGCCTTTGGGAGCTCACCTGGCAGCCGGCAGGCTCGGGGGGTCCGTCCAGGTACACGCAACCACGCGCCGAGGGCATGGGCGGGCTTGGGGGAAAGCAGAGCCAACCTGCGCCAGGCCCCAGGGTGCCTGCCGGCCGTGCCAGGCAGCAGCCCCGGGGCTGCGCACGCCGGGCTCTTGGCCAGGCTGCGACACGCCGGCACAGGGCTGTCCCCGTGTGATGCCCGGGGCCCTGCTCCCGGCTCGCAGCCGAGGCTGGCGCTGCTTCCCGGGGCTGCCGCTGGGACTCGGAGGGCAGCTGGAGACGGGCACAGCGCCGGCTCTGCTCCGTGTCTGTGCCGGACACGGCCGTACCCCCGGTGGGGACTTCCCTTCGCCTCCATCGCTCGAATGGAGCGGCGGCTTTGAGCCCGGCTTCTCCTCCCTTTCCCTGGGCAGCCCTCAGCCTCGGCTCCCCGCCTTGGTCCCGTCCCTGCGCCGCCAGCCCCCTGCTCGCCGCCTCCTGCCCCTGCCTCGGGCTGGCCGGCTCCAGTCCGCGTGGTTTGGGGGGGGGCACCTGCACCAGGGGCCCCTCAGCCCCCCCCAGCCAGGCCTGTGCTGCTTACTCCGTCTCTGCTGCTGTCCCCGCCGCCGCTGCTCGTTCCTGCTGCTCCGTGACGGATCTCCACAGCCGCTGGGTCCTGGGCTTTCGCTCAGCTCCCATCGTGAGGGCCAGGGCAGGCCGTGGGGACAGCTCAGCCTGCCCCGCTCCTCCAGCGTCCCCTCCCTGCCCCTGCGGCTGCTCCCTGCTCCTGCTCTGCCGGCCTCCCTCCCATCTCCGCCCGCGCCCGGCGCTGCAGGGGATGCTGGTGGCTCACGGGTCCCCGGGCTGGTTTCAGGGGGCTGTTGCTTGAAGGAGCCCCGCTGGCTGGGCACAGTGGCTGTCGGCCGGCAGCTCTGTGAGCTGGCGAAGGGCCAAATGTCCTCATGGGACAAGCAGCTTGGCGATGCCTGCGCATCCCCCAGGGTACTCCTGGCTTTGCAGGAGCAGCAGAGGGGTTTTCAGGCAAGTCCCCGTTGCCTGTGCCAACCCCATCCCTGCCTCGGTGACCGGGTTTTCCTCTCGGCCCTGCTGCCTGTGAGCGGGCAGGGGCCCTGGGTGCTGGCAGGGCCCAGCAGTGCCAGGGCTTGGGGTCCAACGACGAGAGCTGTGTCTGGGTGCTTGGCTTGGCAGAAGGATGATGTGGGGCAGCGAGCAGCGTCACGGGGCCGCCAGCAACCCCTGTCCTGTGGGGGTGTGCAGGGGACCCGGGGTCATTGCAATCGGCTGTGCTCAGCACCGAGGCAGAGCAGTGCTGGCTGGGCGAGGGCACCGTCCTCTTGCCCCGTGTGGGGACGCTGGTGCTCCTGGCTCTTGCAGGGCAGGGCTGGGGGGGGGGCAGGGAGGCTGTGCCATGGGGCCGGGGACGAGGCTGAGGACCAGCCGGTGCCCCGCAGGATGCCCCCGCACTGACAGTCGCTTCCCCGCAGGTGATGAGCTCCACCAACGGAGAGCTGAACACAGATGACCCGACTGCAGGACATTCGAACGCCCCCATCACAGCCCCCACCGAGGTGGAGGTGACAGACGATACAAAGTAAGGATGCGTCCCGGCCCTGTCCCCTGGGGCTGCTCAGGGCTGTGGTGCCTTGCCTTGCCCCCCTGAGGGAGGAACAGCCCAGCAAACATCTGCAGCTCCTCACAGTGACCCAATGAGTGGCATCCCTGCAGGGCCACCACCCCCAGCCCCTTCCCAAACCCGGCACAGAGCCCACGCACACAGCTGGGGCCGGTCCCTCTCGGGGAGCCCCTGGCTCCAGCGGGGTGTTTGCCGTGGCTGTCATTGCGTGCCAGGGCCAGTGCCACCACGGTGAGCATCACTTGCTGTGGCGATCGCTGCGCTCTGCACCCAACCCAGGCCATGTGCTGGGGCAACTCTGCCCCGGGCGGGGCCCTCCAGGCCGCCAAAGGCTTTGTGTCCCCTGATCCCATCTGGGTCCGGACACTGACACGTCCCCTCTGTCCCCAGGTGCTGCTGTTTCTTCAAGAGAAGGAAGAGGAAAACCACCAAGCGTCGCAAGTGAGCTGCCGGGGCCGGGTGGAGCGGCGTGCGCGAGGGCTCCTCTCCCTCTGGCCGTGGCTGGATCTTGACCCGTGGAGCCGGCGGCGGCGGCCCCTCGGTTTGGACGGGGCTGGGGCCGAGCCAGCTGGCCTCCCCCGGTGCCCCACGCGCAGGCGGGGAGCGGGGCCTCCCCAAACTGCTTGTCCTTTCCTCCGCCACTCGCCCAGTGCGTGGCCGTTTACTCGAACCAAGCCCGACTTCGCTGAAGTTCCTGCGTCCGTCTAAAAGAAAAAAAGAAAAAAGAAACGGAAACAAATCCACAGCGTCACTTGCTTCTGAGTCTATACCTAGTTTGAAACGGGGATCAACTCTACAGACTCTAAAACGTCGCTGTCTTAGAAGAAGCAGAAGACAATTTCGAGAGCAGTGGGCTAAGGAGGAATTTTTTTTTTCTGTTGCTTCTTTGTCTCTTAAGTTAATTTAAAGTGAGTCTCGGTGCAGAGTGCTGAGTTGTCAGTCTTTGACCGTCATCTTCAGTGTTACCGAATTCTGCTCTTTCGTTAGGGCCCCTTGCCCCTGTCCCCCATTAGGTTTCCCCTCCCCTTTCGTTAATGCCTGTGGTGACGAGCGCTGTGGTCTCTGGTACGGCGAGAAGTGCTGGGTGCGTGCGGGGCGGGGAGGGGGGAAAAATGCGTTTACACTTCTTTTTACGATGCACTTTTGCTAGCAATACAAGTGATGTTTGGTCTTGCCATGAACAGCCAGTGACTCCCGGGGGCAGGGGGCACCGGGACAGGACCGAGCCGGTGTCAGGCAGCACCAGAGGGACCCGTGAGAGCACATTTCAGAGCTTGGAAGGAAAAGCATCTCCTCTCTGACGCTGTGATGTCTTAGGGCTGGATTTGTTTCCTCAGCAGCTTTAGGTCTGTCAGGCAGCACAGGGCAGGTCCTGTGGCAGCGTTTTATTGGCCTGGATTTTACAGCCCCCGTGCCGTGTGTCCGAGCCCCTCGGGGTGATGGCAGGCACAGGGTGAGGGCGCAGGGCCTCATGCCAAGGTGGGCAGGGAGGCACTTGGCGACGGTGACTGGGTGGCGAAGGGCACCGGGACGGCCAGCGCTGCCACAGCCACCGGCCCGGCAGCCTCTGCCCGCTCCCCGCTGCCTCCCACAGGGGGGCCGGGTCTGATTCTGCCAGGGGAGTGGGGGGTAACGAGGGAGGGAGGGAGGGGACCGGGTTTTTTTTAGCCATCGTCTCACCCACACACGCAGACCCCCAGACACCCTGTTCCTCACCACCCCAGGGCCACTGCAGCTTTCCCACGTGACTGACCCCGCGCTGTTGTGTGTATTGATCACCACACATTGGAGGGGGGGAGGGAGGGGCACGCTTATCTTTACCAAAACCCTGTTGTTCTACCCCGAGAGCGGGGCTGAGGCTGTGCTGAGGCTTCTGGGGAGGGTGGGGGTGGGGGAAAATGGGAACATCTGTGGCTGCTTTGAAGCATTTGTCCAAACCGAGCATCTCGGGAGGGAGGGGAGGCCCCAAATAGCACGAGGGGCTGCACCAGCCCACGGGGGTGCTCACCCTTCCTGCCCCAGCACCCATCAGGCACCTGTGGCCCCAAGGGAGGGCGCAGCACCACAGCCCCGCTTCTGCCTGAATTCAGGATTGAACCCAGCTTTGGCTTCTGGGCTGCAGCAGCCAGGGCAGCCCCAGCTGCTGCCGCATCCCCTGGCCGCGGTGGGGAACGATGTGCGGTGTTTGCCCTCACCTCCCCACCAAGGCAAAGAATCGAAACAAAACAAAACAAAAAAATCGCCTTAAATCTTCACTGGAAGTGGACCCTTCTCAGAGCATCGGCTCAGACAAACCCAAGCAGAGGCTGAAGAGGAGCCGCGGAGGGGCAGGGACACGGCCGAGGGTGTTTGCCTGACTCCAGCTGCTCACCCGCTGCCGCCAGCAGCTGCGAGGGGGGGGCCAGTGCTGCAGCCCCCAGGACTCCCTGTCCTTCCAGCACGGAGTCCAAATACTGAGATTGTACGTGAGGGCGTTTGTTCCATTGCAAGTTTAGTTACTGCTTTAAAACAAAGTGTACAGAAATGGCATTTAAATTTCTCTGATGCTTCTTTGAAGCCATAGAACTTAGGGGCTCTTGTTTTTTTTTAATAAAAAATATAAAATAAAAATAATAATAAAAAAAATCTTTAAAACCCTCCACCTTTGTCTGTGTGTCAATGCGTGGCCCCAAGGGTGGGACAGGGATCTGCAGCCCCTTTTCCTCTGCAGCTCAACCAGCAGCATTTGCCCCATGCAGGAGCTGCCACGGCCCCTTTGTGGGCTGGTGCCTCAGCCCCCAATATTCAGGTGCCGTTCCTGCTGCTAAACACTGCTGAGCTGCAGCCGCAGCCCCTTGGTTCTTTTTCATGTGAGCAGCAGGAGCAAAGGCACAGGGGGGTGCTCAGGGGAGCAGCAGTGATGTGATGGCTCCAGACAGGTCCCTGAGCAGCCCAGCTCTCCCACAGGCTCCCCGGAGGTGGTTTAGGGCTGAGGCTGGAAGTCAATAGACACAGCTATCCCAGGACAGAGCTGTAGCTCAAGAAAGAAAAAGAGCAGGAAAGAAAAAAGCAGAAAAGAAAGAGCAAGAAAAGCCAGGATGGGGCCTCGTGCCTCCTCAAGGGCGGTGCTGCTTCAGTTGCAGGGTGGGAAGAGGCCAGGGGCCAGGCTGAGGGTTCCTGTGGGAGAGCAGCAGCGAGAGGTCTTGTGATTCTGGTTCATCCATCCCAACAAAGATGGGTTTGCCTGCACCATGCTCCGCCCAGGGCTGCAGCCTGGCTCAGGGCAGCCCCAGTGCAGGGCATCACCAGCAGCAGGCTTTGGCACAGCCCCGAGGCGCTGAGCAAGGCGCAGCCGCTGCCTGCCCATAGCTCTCTTCAAATCAGGAAGGAACTCTGTAAAGACAACCTGAATGTCTTTATTGATTTCCTATTTACAAATCACAAAGCTGGCCAAAAGCAGAGTGTGAACACTGAACGAGAGCATTGGATACATTCATCAATATAGCACTGGAGTCAAGACAGTCCCAGCTCTGCTTGGAAGGTGACATGGTACAACAGAACATCTCATACTTTTGGAAACAGGCAAGTCCAACAATGAATTACATTCATCTATCTACAAAAGCCAGAATTGCATCAAACTGCATAAAAGCCGTAAGAACAGAAGTTGCTCGGGTGTAGTTCAGAGTCTGACTCCTCTCCCTCCCCAACAGGACAAGCAAACAGACCTACCTTGTGGCTTGAAAGCAGGAAAGGTGAATTTGGGAAAAGAAATTGCATAACAAAAGAGCAGTAAAAACAGATGCTTCAGGGACAAGCCAGCTAGGGCCCATCCTCCTCAGCTGAGCTAGGTTACAGCAAGGCCTGCCTTCAAGTCCTGCTCTTTCGATAGCCAAGTGTGCAGCTTTGCTTCTTTCAAATTCCAATTATTTCCACTATTGCCACCTATATACAGAAGTGCCCGAGGTGCCGCACCCACCACAGCCGGCCCGGTGCGGGGCTCCCGCAGGCCCCGAGGTGGCTCCGGGCAGGGAAGTGAAGCTGCTGCTGCCTGAGGGGAGCAGCGGAGGCAGAGCGCAAGCAGGGGTGCGTGCCCCAAAGGGCTGCCCCTCAGAGGGCAGAGCTCACCCGTCCTGCCGATCCGCCTCACGACACCGCTTGCATTGCACAGAGTCAGGTTCAATAACTAAGTCATGGACCCATCAGATTATTTTTTTTAAAGTACTGGCCATATTAAAAACATCCTACCTTGAAGCAGGCTTACAATATACACATCTTACAACGTCTTCCTAGAGAACGTAACACACTATCGACATCTCTAAAAGCTACTGGTTACGAGGTGTGGGGTGTTCCTGACCGTATTACTGCTGCGTGGCTGGCAAGGAGACACCCGGCCAGCCACAGGCTGAAGACAGAGCCCAACCGGAGGGAGCAAGGGGAAGAGATGCACCTTCCCCCGCGAGTGAGCAGGCACTCAGCCATCCGCATCAGCGAAGGGTGACCGGGTTTCAACTTTCAGCAGCTGAACAAGGTGGCAACTGCCGCCGGGCCAGTCTGGGCAGCCTCGTGCGCCCAGGGCAGAGGGAGAGGTTTGCAAAAGAGAACCTCAGTTTTGAGGCAGCACCACAACGTGCCAGCAAGTCCCACGCAGACTTTGGAAGGCTCTGGACACCCTGCCAAGATGTCCTTTAGTTACGGCTTCCTCTGCAGAGGAAGGGGAGGGAAAACCCAGCCTCCAGTGGGCAGCGCCTCCCACCTCCTCCCCGCAGGGCACCTTTACCTACTGACTATGGCTGAACCTGCTGACGGTGAAAACAACCAGTCCTGAACAGGTAAGAAGGGAGCTTATTCATGAGTACTGAACTAACCAGCCCAAAGCCAGGTGATGTTTGGAAATATCGTATCTTCCTCCTGCACTTGTCCAAACAGGCAGACTGCAAATATACACTGGCAAACAGAAAATCTTTAATGTTTTCCTAAACTGTTCCATAAATCCTCGTCCATCTGCTGCATTATTAAGTAACAGGCGGTTGCACATCAAGCCTCTTCCTATTTTGCATCAGGGCAGCAGTGCTCTGAAGCAGCCTAGGAGTAGGTTAGCAATGCACAGAAACAAACAAAAAAATAGAAAATGCATTGAAACGTGCATGAGAACAGCAGCAATACACAGGAACACAGGGGCCAGGTGAGGCAAGTTCCCTTGCTTGCTCCAACTGACAAATCCCAGCACTATCTGCAAACAAAGGATTTGATTAGCACAGTAACAACTAGTACAGATTTCCCTGCTGCTAAATGCTGCACGGGGTTATCCGAGTATCACCCATCATTTTGAACACCATACGGAGTTTGGGAGAAGCACCACGGGACTCAGCACAGCAGCTGCCCCCAGGAGAGGGCAGAGCCTGCCCTGCCAGAGCCGCTGCCCCTTCCCAGCCCCGCAGGGGAGCTCACCTCACTGTCGCCAACTGCCCAAGGTAAAGGATTGTCACAAATTAGTGAGAGTAGCATGAAAACGCTGTAGTCTCTAGAGGCGCTCTAGTTTTGAGGTCTCCCTCAAGACCGTGTAGTGCTGAAACAGCAAGCCTCAGGGAAAAGGCCACTTTCTGTCACTTTTTGAAGGCGGCTGCACGTGCTGCAGCCAGCAGGAGGGGACGCGCCAAGCGCAGGCTGGTCGAGCTCTGCCTTTGCAGTGGTGTTGCCGGCCAAGCACTGCAAACCGCTTCGCCTCAACTGCTGTGCTAGAGCAGAGGAGGAGGGGCCATACAGCCCCGGACTTTGTCTTTTTTCTTTTTGCAGGATTTGCTCCTCACAGCAAGTGTAACCACAACCAGAGCCACTCGTTTCCATGCTTCTGACTGGTGGAAAAGCATCTACATTCATTACAGTCAAAAAAATGCATGTTGTTAGATAGGATTAATCAGTAAAGTGAAAAATGACTAGCCACAGACAACCTACAAATGATACTGGTAAACCAGTTAGTCTGGTATGGGATAGCAGCAGAATCACTAGCACAAGGCAAAACATGAGCTTTGAAATGGTTTTACTGAGACCTTTGGCTAGTGTGGCTCCAATTGGTGTGGTCAAACTCAGCCAGAAATTTAGTTTGGAAGGTCACGGGGAAGAGAACAGAAAAGTCCAGAGCCAGCTCCACAGCTGCACTATGTGTAGAAGATGATCTCTGGGATTTGTCCATCCTCCACAGAAGTGCCGTTGTTATTCCCAGCCGCGTAGCAGAACGTAAAGCAGGTTTTGGCTCCTGTTGTTGGTGATTCATGGATCACTTTGCGCAGTCCTTTGGTTCCATAGTGGGAATCTGGACCCTGCAATGGTTACAGAAGACAAGAAGAACAGATCAAGACAGAGATCGCAGCCCTGCTGGACCCTGCAGCCCAGGTACGCTCCACCCAAAGCAATGAACTTTGGAAGTCTCAGCACCTCCCATTTCTTTCTGCTTCTTTAGGTATTTTGAGCAAAGTTCTCATTGCTATCAGAGCTCAACACTGCATTTAACCAGATCTCAACAGTTCAATAACAACTTTTTTAAGCTAGTCCAGACGGGCTCTGTATTACAAGCATACAGAGCTGACAGTTTATCTGTGTGCACCAAGAAAAAAATCCCCTCACCTCATCACACATACAGCCTGTTAATTACAGTACACTTAATTACAGTACACTTGCTAGAGAAGTTAAAAACCAACTCTGAATGCTGATGGTCAGCGTGTACATCCTACCACCAGGTGAAGGTCTCCAAAGGAAGCCTTCAAAACTAAACTTGCCTCACTGAAACACAGAGAGTAAGAACCACATTGCACTGAAAAAGCCTGCTTTCACCTCTGCTTATAAGCCTCTCTTCTATCCATGCTGTCCCACTACAGTACCTTTAGAGTAGCACATGCTGTATAGTTGACGTTGGGTAAAATCTCAACAGGTTCCTTGAACATGACCCGGAAAGTGTTTGAAGATCCATCACAGCTGAACCCTGTGTCGTTCTGCCCCAGGACCGTGTTACTGTCTGTGTGGATGATCTGCAAGAGATGTGTTAAATTTTAATCCATACAGTTAGCTGGAAGCTGCCCTGCACATCAGAATTGGCACTAGTGCAGGCATGTCCCCTCTGAACCGCACTGGATCTGAGGGACTCGGTAGTTTGCCCAGTTCCACCACAGCTTCAGAGCCCTGTTGCAACTGCAACATCGTGTTGCTTGTGCCATCACATACTGAACAACAGCACGCTTGCATCCCAGAAAACCCAAGACAAAGACATTCCCCTCTTTACCCTGAAGCCTGGTGCAGCACTACAGGTGGCTGTTTGCTTAGACCTTCGCTTCCTTTTAGCCTCCAAGAGCTCAGAGGCCCTAGAAAGTGACCCTGGCTGTTCAGGAAGCACAGACTGTGCTTATCACATCAGCTGTGTTGGGGTAACTTTCCTGGGGGCAATCGCTCTCAAGGGGTCCAGACTCAGGCAGGTTACTTATGTACATCCAGAACAATGTGCACAAGACTTTTATAAGACAAAGTCTTTCAAACAGCTGTTAATGGACTTCAGACAGGTGTGTCAAAAAACAAGCTCCCTAAGTCCTACTCGCCATCTCAAACAGGTGCACACTGGCACTGCACAGGCCCTGCGCACTCACAGCAATCGTTTTCTTCTCTTCCCTTGCTG